AGAATCCATTGCATAAATTTAATGTCATACAAATAATCGTTCCATATGTAAACAAATATATACCAAAAACATCATGTCAAAAATTGTAATACATTTATATTAAGGGGATCTAATTGTACATTGTTATTAAGAGGTTTTCCCTAAATATATAACATAATACTAAATTGCTATTAAGGGACACCTTATGCAATGTAATGCTATACAAACTAAAAAGATATACACAAAGATGATAAACATCAATTCCAACTAAGTAGAGTTGAATCTTGCCTTTCATACTTCTTTAAGACTAATATTGAACCCCTGCTCCGATAATTCTTGTGACCTGATCAAATAAAAGTCAAAAAATAATATGTTAATACAATTATTAGAAGAATCAAACTTGGAATGTTAGTTGTAAAAGACGAAATTACCCTTTTCTCCATCCAAAGAATTTGGGATTTGGAATAAATACACTACAATATGAATTACCTAATATCAACAATGACAAACACAATGACAAGAAATCCCGCATACAAATGGTAAATATTATCTGTAAAGCTATTAACAATGATATTCACAATGACAATCTTTGATCATATAAACTAGAGAGTATATCATCACAATTCCATCTAACACCACCCATTAGAACACGTAAAGCTACTCAACCAACATATCATGTCATGTAATGTATTTTTTGTCAGTATATCTTCACATAGAAAACAAAAGTGAAATAAATAAAAATAACAACCTTCTCATTTACTGAAAATGGATATTGTTCACATATATGGGAGCCATTTTCAGAATTACCATCCCCATTTACCTGAAATCATTCATGCCATTTTAACTCAAATAATTTATTTATAGTAAAAAAAAATAATTATAGTGTTTTGATTATATAATATATACCCATCTGTCACTAACTCCTCATTCGTCATAAGAATGAACAAATATTTTAATTAATTACCTTGAAATGATAATAATATAAATACTATAACACCATGGCATGGTATATTTGAATAATACCTAGTGTAGCATCCAAGATAAGACGTTGACTTGTTGCTTGAGCAGATTTTGCAGTGTATGCTTTAAGGGCATCATCCCACCGTTACAGCTTTTCATACCTTGTATTTGGAAGCAACATAAACAATTAATATTTTGAGAAAATAAGACAATGTAAATGATTTCAGGGTCCTGGAAATATACCATGATTCCTTCAGTTGTAAATCCAAACAGCATCCCATATATAGTTATATACTTAAGAGAGTGAAAAAAGGAAAGTGAGCTAGTTTCTATATATGCTTACCCTCCAAAAAGATAGAAGTGAAAGTATCCAAAAGAAAGCACTTATCCACCTTGATTCCTTATATGCAATCCACACCTGATCAAAAGAAGCAATCAAACATTATTGTTATAACAAAAGTCGAAAAATCTCCTTTTCACTATAGTTGGAAAGTATATAATAAACAAAGACTTACTGCTACAATGACAATACAAAAATAGAAATCGGTTGTTGTTGCTATCATGCACCTGTGAGCATTTACAACTATGTATGAGCATTTACTATTACACTTTTTTACATAAATTAAATAAAAGGGAAATTTTAAATGGTACCTTGATAATACATTGGCATTGAATGTAGATCCATCAACAATAAGCACATAAATAAAAGTTCCCAGCATCAAGTAGCCTAATGCAGAAATGATTATTTTTGCAATTAAAACGAAATGTCCCCTTTTGTATCCCATGGCATCCCTATATAAGCCAAATATATAATAAAATTACAAGCATTTTAGCAAACATTTTTACTTGATTTTAGTTTTTGTTATCGTTATTGGACATGTCCCTCAAAAGATATAATAGATCCTTTGATGATTCTTCTGGTGACAACTTAAAGAACTACAGAGCCACGTATCATTTGTAATAGGGCTGTAAAAGGAATGAAAATTTACTTAAAACATGTTACACTTGTAATTAATAGTAATAATAATAATAATAAAGTTTAATTACCTTCCTACAAAAAGTACAACAGGTATCAATACAGCTGCCTTGATCCAACATGATTCCTTGTAGACTATCCAAGCCTAAGATTTCAAGTATATACACAACCACATATAACTCCATTTGATTCAACAAGCTTGTAACACCATGGTCAAGATCAGTTCCAAAATTCCCAGTAAACACGCCACCTGAATATAACTGGAAACCCATGCCACTGGCATCAATGGCAACTGATACGGGTTGATTAGTGACTGCCTGTAACAATGCGGATTCACTGTTGGCTGGCACTTTTTCATACCCAGTAATGGTGGCAGCATGGACAGCTTCTTCCTTGGTGTTGCAGGTTCCATCTGTTGCCTGATATGGGTAAGTCACCTCAGTGTTGATGCCTTTGTTTTTAAATATAAACTCAAAGCCATCTTCCATCTCGCCACCATCACATCCTCCGTTTTGATTTTGGGGGGTTTTTATTGGTGTTTGTTCCTTTAGGGTTCCGTTTTCAGAATGGTTTCCTGTAATCAAAGATTTTGATATTAGTATGGAATTGAGTTCCAAATATTCAAATTGCAGTAAAAGAAATGATCTTACTGTTACCGTTTTCCGTAGAGCGACCATTTAAAGGAGGGGAAGAAGCAAACCCAGTGTAATCACCTGAATTCAAATAAAAAAAAAATTAGATAAAAAATGATTATTTTTATTTTTAAGGTAGCAGCAGAAAATTAGTTTACCGTTTGTTTGTGTGCTGGAGAAAATGCGTTTTTTAATTTTTCAGCAGATGATTTTCCAGGCCATTGTTTAAGAGGGCGAATAACCAGAGCTCTTGGATTCTCCCTTGGAATAAAAAGAGCATCTGCTTTTGGTGTGCTGGTAGTCTCTTCATCATCACTAAAAAACGAAACCTGTAATTGTAAAAAAAAAAAATCAGATCCATAAAAAACAATAAGGGCAAAATAGTCAATATAACAACAGATATTACCTTTGGCCCATCGTTTTTCGGGTGATACTTTCTAGCACCCCACGAATTTTTTACCAACCAGTACTTCATGCCAAAGCTGTGTATATGATGTATTCACCATCACCACAGACAACAACATACCTCCTATTTGGGTTGTGCTTCAAGCTCTGTGGAAAAATAGAAAAGTCAAAGTCCATATGGTTGACTATTTTCAGTTTAAAGGAAGGTAGGAACAAGCATAACTCACTTGTGGATAAAGATCACATGTTCCCAGTTCTTTAACTGCTAAAGGCAGCCTCTCTCCATCAGAAACCTGAATAAAAAATAGATTTTTTTCCCATTTCATTGTTAACATAACATAACATGTATATGGGCTTTAAAGTCCAAACCTCATGATCAGCTCCCACACTCTTGATGTTAATAGTTTGAATTTCATTATGTTTAGCCCATATAATTTTTCCACTATTGTCCATGCTGGCTACAGGCTCTTCACGTCCAATTTTCACCTTTATGGTTCCTTCATCATAGCCAATAACAATCCTGTAAAAACAGTAATTAAAATAAATCCAGATAAATGAAGAAGCATCAAGATTCAAGACCCACAAAACAAAAAACAAAAAGTGCTATACAAACTTACCGACGGGAACCTTTCATGTATCCAACAGCCCAAACCCTTTCAAGTCCACAGTTCAAGGTGTTCTCCAGTCTGAATAAAAAAAAAAAGAGTGGCCTAAAGTCAAAAAGTTTACATTTTTAACATATGTATAATGAGGGTATTTTGGTCTTTTGATAGGAAATGAAGAATGAAATTGAATTCCTTCCATCCATCAAACATGGAATTTGAAGGAATCCAACAAAAATTGAATTCCATCCATTTGGAAACCAAACACACCATGGAATGGAATCTAGCATTCCGGTTCTTTTAGAATCTACAAAACAAACACACCCTTAAAGGTAAAAAAACAAGAGCTCACCTGTAAGTGGTTGAATCCCATATACGGACAGTACCATCTTCTGAACCTGTCATTATTATTGGAAGCTCGGGATGGAAACATACAGCAGAAACATTGTGTGTGTAACCTTCTAGAGTTTGGACACAGGTTTTAGTTAGCAACTCTGCAGTAACATATCACAGTTGTGACCGTATTGCTGGATTCTCATATTGAGATAGTAAAGGGAATCAAATCAGTTTAGAAATTGTAAGTAAATGAGATTCAATTCCTATTACATAAATTAAATTCCAACTCCTAAACACTAAATTGATTTTTTTATCATTATCAAAACACAATTGGCTGATTACTACTCATGTGTATGTATAATAATAGTAAATTGAATCTAATAGGAATACATAAATTTTTATTTACCTGTGAGGTTGTCACTGTGGCAGGTTGCTTTGAACCTTGTTCATTAATCTTTGGACAATCCCCTTTTGGTTCAAACATTTAGTCAAACACCTAGTGTGCATAAAAAAATCAGGTACTTATATCATAAAATATTAACAATTCCATGAAAATATATGAGAGAGGGTAAAAGGCACAAAAAATCATCCAAAAAGAAGGACCAGTAGGACATGAAACAGGTAACTATGGTTGAAAAAGGAAGAATTACCTTTGAAATAGGCCTACTACGCAGATGAAATAGGCAACAGTGGTGGTATAGTGGTGGTTCTGGGTTGTTGCGAAGGCAATGTGGTGGTGGCTCAGGGCTGGTGTTGTGGTGCGATGTTGTAACGGTGGAGTTTGAAAGCAAACACAAATTGTGATGGAAGCTATTGTTGTTGGTGATGTCCGATTCATCAAAAGAAAATCATTCTTCGATCAATCTTCTATTTTGTGAAAGAAGATATTACTATTTCAAATGTGTTACGTTTGATTAGGGTTTGCACATAGAAGGAAGTGAAAGTCGATCGGAGAGGAAGGGGTTTGCAGAGAGAAAGAAGGGAGAGAATGAAGTCGATTTTGGCGGGTGTAGAGAGTAGAGAGGAAGAGGAAGCGGGTGTTCAAAATTTTGGGGGATTTAGTTTCCCCCCTTACCTATCAAGGAGTCCTAGAAACGCGCGTTTATTAAAATTATAAAGTGACATTGGTAGAGGACGCCCGTTTTATTATAGGTGCCCTCCGTGTTTTTAATATTTTTACATGAGACACTAATTTAAGGGCACTCAGTAATGCGCGACCTAAATCCTTAAAATTTTTGAAGAGATGACACTTTTTTAATGTCGCTCTCTAATGCGTAACATAAATCAAAGAGCGTCGTGTTTTGCGCATCGTAAAAGGCCTTTTTTCTAGTAGTGATATGTCATTTATAACTATTATAGGGAAACTTTCGTATGCAAAATATACCACGATAACATCTTATCTTTTGAAATAAGAAATGATTTATCTATATATGTAAATCAAACACTCTGTTTATACTATATGTTTGTGTGTCCAACTTTGTCACGAAAAAACATCAATCTTTTGCTATACTTGTTTTTAAATAAATCAATCTTATGGGATTTATAACTAGTAAACAAATGGATTTACTACACGTTTAGCAGTTTCACCAAACATAATACTTCAAATGACTTCTTAAACGTTTTTACATGTTTAATACTCTTTATCACACTGTCTTACACACTGTAAGTTCCTTTCAAACTCTGTTACATGGGTGTTTTCAAAAAAAGATTTTCCTTATACTTAAAGTGTCTGATCAAACAAAATACTTTCAATCATTTTATAAACTGACATCAAGTCGATCTTTTGTTAGATATTAATCTTTTTCAAAGGTTTTACAAAACTTCTTTTATGCTTTTATATTATCAAATGCATGCCCATATATGTGTAGTTATATAAGTAATGTTTAAAGGACTTAGGGAGGCTAACTCATTCTATTTCCTTTTCCTTGTTGGGATGTGGCTATGGGATATCGGTTATCCGTCCGAATGTCGTCTAAATATTAGTTATATATATCATGTGTACATATGTAGACATAAAAGTTTTCCCCAGTCAGTTCGGTACCTTTGGGTAGAAAAGGCATACTTTAGGTTATACACGTACATTACTAGTAACTATAATAGGTATAGTTAGGAGATACTATTTACCATTCCAAGTACAAGAAATCACACAAGAGTCAGTTCATTCATGAGTCTATACGATACATTACATGCTACATGAATACGATTACATAGATGCGCTTACATGAATACGTTTACATATATAACGCTTACATGAATCCTCTTACACGGATACTTTTACCTAGATACTATATGATGAGATACTATTACATATTATACATATAGATTAGATCTATCTATCCTAGTACAAACAGATACTCTGCGGGACTAACCATTCCTATAACCTATGTTAGCTTCAGAGGTAAATGCACATCTACGGATGTCTACGGTTGATACCATTATAGGTATACTTTAAGGGACTAACTATTCCTACACCCAGCTGTTAGCAACAGAGGTAAATGTACATTTTCGGATGACTACAGTTAATACTATTCGGTAATTCCTATGACGTGTTTATCCTAGTACTAAAGGATAATATTTAAGTTATTAGTTCATTTCCTTTACTTTGTTATACATTCGCGTAAACAACAAGGTAGACTAATACTTATATAATTATATGACTACCTTTATTTTGTGACACATTTACATAGTCGATGAGGTAGGCTATAGTCTTATAACAATAGTTAAACAGAGAAAAACCGTCACATTTACAGTGATGTGTACTTTCAAAACAGTCGAGTCTTGGTAGAAGACTACTTTTATACTAGTAGGAAATATAGGATTTCCTAGGGTTTTCAAACGTTTACAATTACTTACAGACATTTTCCAACTTTTCTCCAAAGGTTTACAAGTCTTTACTTTACAGTTTTTTTACAAATCAAAGACACATTAATATTTATGAATTCACCAGCTTTATTGTTCATACTCACTTTCAAAATAACTTGTATTCTCAGGTCACAAATAGACAGGTATGATGACTACGTTTTGTGAAGATGGAGAAATCATGACTGCTTTTTATTTTGATTAGTTATTATGCTGTCTGATACTATGAAAGAACACACTTGTAACAAAAATTATACTATTAATGCAATGGATGTTGTTGTTGCTTGTTTACTACTTTGTATTGTTGTGATATATTACATGACGTCGTCCACCCCAGAACGTTTCCATCATTCTCGGTTTTGGGGTGTGACAGATTGGTATCAGAGCATTGTTTATAGCGAATTAAGTATATCAACCCATAAATGATATACTAACTATAAATACAATGGGATTAAAAATACTCTGACCAAGAGTTTATGCTTTTAAATTATAAAATACTTGATTGAGTATACGTGCCTGCATTCACACTAAAATCCATGTCACAATGACAAGAACAAAAGTATTACGATTGTTGAATATCACAGGTAAACTCGGGGATGTATCGTCAGTCCTTGGAATGGCATAGCCTGATCAACTATGTTGGTCCGAGGAGTGATTAGCACATGCCCAAGAATGGTTGTGATGTGTCAACAAGTCTAAAAACTTACCAACACTACCACAATGAGAACATTATAACAGAACCTAAGTCTAAAATACTATAGGAATATTTTGTGTTACTATAATTACATACTTGAGAACTAAAAAGGATCTTCATTACTAAGTTGATGGTTTCTAAGTGGATACACCAAGGTTATATGTAACTAGGATGTCATAGACTTAGAATCTGTGAAATATTTTCTTTACCTCTATTCCTTGTGAATTTGGAGTTAAGATCACTTATTCGAAGGCCTACCAGTGTTAATTACATATAATTGGTATGCACTTTACAAATAGTGATGTAACTAATGAAGATTATCTAATAATTATCTAGATAGTTCATCTAATAATTATTTTCTTACCCCAATTCTTGCGTAGATAACATGGCTGGACTCCATCCCCACGGCAATCCGTACCTTCCGAACGAGGGCAATGCTGGATGGTTTGAAGAAGAACCCGAGAATGATCATCCAATCCCTTTAAATGATCACCATGCTCAAGATCTTTCAGATGATGATAACTCCGAACCCGAGGTTGATGACCCACCTCTAGTAGCTCCCATTCCAAATCCTAACCCTCGTCTAGCTTTTCATGGCCCGACGCCTCCTTGGGTAGAATGATTGGGAACATGGAGCAAAGACCAATATCAACCTATGCCGTCTAAAAGAGACCGAAGCTTCTACAATGTAAACGAAAGGAGCTCAGCAGACAGAGTTCTACAAATCCTAATCCGTAGAGTTTCCCGAAACGAAATTCAGGGCAGGACGACTTTTCAACGTATCGAAGAGGTTAATGCCAATGCAAAAATGCATACCATTCGCACCAATCACCTTGACCACGAGTGAGAGATCTGATAGAAACCATGAAACCCTGCTATGAACACTAGCTGAAACCCGAGCCAAAGTCATATAACTCCAAGTACGCCAGAGGGTTGTACAAGAGATACCTGCTTGATATGGAACGTCAACTAACCGAACTAAGGGTTCACCATAGGGGTGACCGTCACCAGTAGGAGATACCCTACTTCCTTATTTGTTTTAATGAACCGTGTTACTGTCTATGTTATGTGTAGTACTTTCTATGTGACTATCTTGTACTGTAAGTACTTGTAGTTAGGACTTTATGCTGTCAAAGACTTTTCTACTCCGAATATAATGTAAGACCTTCTACAAAGTTACTTTCTCCCGAACCTATTACCTCTTAAACATAGATTATATGGACAGTCGGCTAACTTCCGTGTTACTCTTTGTTCAAATACCTGCATTATACTATCGTTGGATTCTATCTGAAACCCCATCTACTCAAGTTATTGGACTATGGTAATTTAACTCCGGAATCATTTTCAAGTCTCTTTTAAAGGTTGGATCATATTATCCACCAACCTATAATACCTCAGCGTAAACGACAAACGTCTTAAGACCATTCTACAAACATACTTCTACTTTGAAGTAGGACTGCATCATAGGGATGTAGGTCAAACCATCATAAACATACTTTTAATCTGTACTAGGATTGCATCATAGGCATGTAGGTCAAACCTTCAAGAACACACTTCTACTCTTTACTTAAGCGATCGAAGTACATCCAGGTTCAACCATACTCACTCACAAATTCATTTTCTTTCCGCGTAACAGAATCATGTCGCTGAAGAAAAACGATCAACCCATCAATCAAACACCAACTATTCAGATTGATGTAGCTACCTTTCAAGCTGTAGTCTCGGCTGCCGTGTCAGCTGTTCTGACCCACCTTAACGCTAACAACGCGAATGTTAGCGAGATTGTTAACAATAATTCCAATCCAAGTAACAATCAAATACCTCAACAAGCAACACACTACCACGACACCCCGAATCCCAAGCCCAAGAATAGCAAACGAAAGTTTTGGGCTAAAGCTAAGGGCAAACCACCCCAAGGGGCGAGTAAAAGACAACAAACTGTGGCAGCCTTTGCAGCCACAACATCTGTACCTCCTACTACCATCCCTTCTGGTATGCCAATGGCCCCTAACCCAGCCAAATAATATGCTGGAAAACTACCAAACTGCAATAAGTGCAGCTTCCATCACCTAGGTAGCTGACGTCTGTTACACTGCAAGACCTGCAACAAGAACGGACATACTACCCACTTCTGCATGACTCGGATCCAACACATTACTTCAACCACCAATGTCGAAATTTCTCGGATATGCCATCTATGTGGCGTAATGGGACACTTCAAGAGGGACTGCCCAACAGGGAAGAATGACAGTGGAACGGGAGGAGTTTGACCTTAGAATGGAAAA